TAACCCCAATGGGGGGGGGGGCCCCCCTTCCCCCTTCTTCCAAACCCCGTTGAGGGCCCGCCCCGCCCCCGCAAAAGGACCCAAAAAAAAAAGGGGTGGGAAAAAAAAGGGAGGGGGGGAGATTGGGGGAACCGGGAAAAAAAAGGGACCCACCACCCGGGAGGGGCAAAGGGGGGGGGGAAAAACAAAATTAAAAAAAAGGGGGGGCCCCCCCCCCCCCCCCCCATTGCCCATCCAATTGGGTTCCTTTCCGTGTTTTGTTTTGGGCATTACGCTCCTTTTGTTTTGCCTCCCTTTCGCGCAGCCCGCCCAATCCAGAGCTACAGGGGGACTCTTCCCCCTAGGTAGACAGGTAAGAACTTGGGGAGCCGGTTTCGTTCCGTGTTTTTCGCCCTCGTTTTGATGGTTCCCATGAAGAGTTTTTTTTTTCCCAGTTGGGGTCCTTTTAACATTTAGGGTGCCTGCCAACAGAGGGAGACCGGCAACGGGCCGGTAGTTTTTAGCATCAGAAGGCATCCCCCCCCCCCCCCCCTTGCCTGCTTTCGGCAGGAGCACAAGCCGCTCGCCTGTCCTGCAGAAAACCTTCTTTGGTAACCCTTGTTCGCCACAGCCGTATAAGCACGTGCGTTGCATCATCAATCTTTGGTGCGCAATGTTCCTGCTTTAGCCCGTAAATGTAAATATATGTGAGAAGAGGTAGCTGCTGTATCTCTGTCTTTAGCAGGTACCATACTGCTGAATATAGCACGGCGTGCATGCCGAGATATTAAGAGCACGGTCCCCTCGCCCGCAACGAACGCCGTTCCCCCCTTTCCGCTCTGAGCAGCTAATAGCTTCAGATGGGAAACAAGAGTTGGAACGCCTCTTGTGTTTTCCGTCGGACTAGGCTGGCTGTTCGGCGTCAACAGCTAATAGCGTAAACGAGAGAGAACAACAGCATGCTCGGGTGGATCAACAAGAAGATTGCGACGGCTGGTGCCGGCGGCGGCGCCGGGTCTGGACAAGGCGGCGGGAACGAACGAGGAGAAAGAGCATCGACCGACGGCTCAGGAAAATCCCAGAAGCGCAATGATCCGCAACGAGATCTGCCGGCCAACCCACCGCAGCAGCAGGGGCAACCGGGCCGCCGAAGCTCTTTCTTCGACGCGATGGGCGGGGCCATGACGATAGGGAGGGGCGGCGGCCGCGGCAAGAAGGACGACAAGAGCGAGGCCGCCGCCCTCGCCGAGCAGCTGGACGCGCAGCGAGCGGAGCGCATCTCTTGTGTGGCGTTCAAGCTGGTGCGCGAGATCCAGCGCATCCTTAAGGAGGCTCGAGAGAAGCAGGCGGCCGCCGCCGCAGCGGCTGCGGCCGCCGCCGCCGTTGCCGCCGTCGCCCCCTCCGCCGCGCCCCCGCCCTCTTCCTCGCTTTCGGCCGGGACGCCCGCCGGTACGCCGGCGCCGACGCCGACGCCGCCGTCCTCCGGGTCTCGCAAGGGCGGCAGCGCGTCGTCGCCGATCACGGAGAGAGCCGAGGCGGCCGCCGCCGCCGCCGCGGCCGCCGTCAAGAGAAAAAACCGGTGGGCCGGCACCGAGGAGCTCCTGAGCCTGCTGGACGGCGGGAGCCCCGGCGGCGGCGGGGAGGTCGAGGACAAGGTGGAGCGGTACCGGAGCATCGCCGAGGTGCAGGCGAAGATGAGCGACCTGGTGGAGCAGGCGCTGGTGCCGGAGTCCCACGGGGACCTCTGCGGGCAGCTGCTGGACGCCGCGACCGGGGTGGGGCACCACCCGGCGTTTGTCAAGCTCTGCGTGGACGCCGGCCTGCCGTCCAACCTGGTTCACTGCCTCCGCATCATGCGGGTGGTGGAGTTCGAGAGCGCCATGCGCGACGGCACCGGCGGCGGTGGCGGTACTACCGCGGCTGGTTCGTTCGGCGCGGGCGATGGCGGAGACGACGAAGCTAGCGGCGACGAGGCTCGCCCGTCCCCTTCTCTGCCGGAGGGCGACGACCGCCCGCAGACGAAGAGAGCGACCGAGCGCATTGGGAAGCTGCTGGTGACGCTCTGCAGCGACAAGTCGGCCGGGGTCGGGGAGCAGATCAAACCCCACCTGCCGGGCCTGCTGAGCCTCGCGGTGAGCGCCTACCCGCCGAACGGCGCCCACGTGCAGGAGACGGCGCGGGCGGTGGTAGAGGCGCTCATGGGCGGCTGCCTCAACTCCAGCATGGTGTGGCTTCTCCACTACAACAAGGTTAGTTCGCCGCCGGTGCCGTTGTTTGGTTTTTGACGAAAACATATACATACGGAGTACTATCAAAAAATGTGTGCCACATTTTTCAGTTGATTTTTGTTGAGCTTCCAGCGCGGGGTTGTGATGCCAGCGACTTTGGGGAGGAGTGTTGCGTTTGTTTTTTATCATCGTGCTTGTCACACGGCAAGAGGGACACGCAAGGCGTAGGTATACGGTGTTCGCATCCCTCGCCTGATTTCCGATGCTAGTTATAGTTCACCAACCCCCACCCCGTCTTGGGCTCGTCTCCCCATGGGTGTCTCTTTGTCCTTGCGCCTGTTTCTGTCTTCTCCTGTCGCTTCTCATCTTCTGTCGATTCCACTCGCACGGTCGCGCTGCCCTGCAGGCAATGCTGGACGTTGTCGGAGAGCTGCGACACCTGAGCGGGCTCGACGGGACGGCGCCAAAGTCGCCCACCCCGGGCAGGAAAGTCGTTCGTGGGGGTTACACCCCGAGATCGGTCTCCCCCATGAGCAAAGGTAAGGCTTCCGTCGGATGGCTTCACAGTGTTAAAGGGGTTTGCACAAGTACTTGCTAAATGTATACTATCATAGCGTAGTATGCTAGCTTTACGGGGTCCTCGATGCGCTTTTTCGTCCATTTTCGTTGAAATCTGTCCGAATTACGTTTGACGTCCAACCCCATGCTTTCATGTTGCGCTTGCAAACAAGTACAACACATGGTTGAACGCTTCGAAACTGCTGTCAGGTATTTCATCCCTTTCGACTGGGTTTTATCTCGAACGGTTAGTTTTTCTGTGAGGTTATGCTTACTTTCTAAAAATATTCCTGAAGCATACCGGCTTCGCTCCTTTTTGGGCAAAAAGAAAGAAAAAACACGCTGAATGTGAAGCCTGCAAGACATGTATTATTGTAGGGCACACGACAGGGCCATTCTACGGAACCGAGATGTGGAGTTTTTGTGATGCGACCCCCGTCCGATGTGAAATCACGTCTCGCGGACGCTTCGCACAGCAAGAACCAATCCGATGTGTCGCGAAACATGAATCCATCGCGTTCAATCCTCCGAAGGCTTGGTAGTCGCGAGTCTTGAGAATACTCGGAGGGAGGATCGTCGGAAGAGTCAACGACGTGGGGGTGTTTGCCGAAGTCGGGTTGGTGATCCAGTGGAGTGATGATGGAAAAAGGGTCTCTCGGAAAGGGGATTCAGGGGGGCAAAGGTCAAGGTTTGACGCCGTTGGTCTTGTCAATACCGTCTTGTTGTCAAGAAGTGCTCCGATGCATTCCCCTCCGCTTTCTCTCCCAAATCAGACCCATACAATAACCCCCTCGTCCCGGCAGTGCTAGGAGATTGGTCTAACGACTACGGCATGCGTTTACATGAGAACACCCCGCACCCCCTCAGGCAAGCGATCCCCGGGGCCTACCAAAGGCGGAGGACGGACCGCCACCAAAGATGCGGGCGAAAACCCGGCATATATCGCTCCGTCACGGCATTGTAGGGCGACTACGGCATGTTTTTTACATGAGTACCCCCCCCCCCCCCCATCCCCTCAGGCAAACGATCCCCGGGGCCTGCCAAAGGCGGAGGACGTACCGACACCAACGAGCCTCCCTCGACTGAGCTCGTCGGCGCCGCCGCGGAGGAGAGCGGGCTCTGGCTGTCGGCGCTGAGGGCGGCGGTGAGCACGGTGAGGTCGTCCAGCCACTTCGTGCCGGCGTTCGTCCAGGACTTCGAGTCCGCGGGGGGCTACGAGACCGTGGGGTACATGGTGCGGAAGAGCTCTATCGACCACCTCCCGGCCATGCTCGAGCAGGTGAGTGATAGATGTGGTTCTCAGAGGTTCTGTGGGTCTTGGGGGATAGGGGTCGGGCTGGGATTCTTTTCAAGTGAGTTCGGGATAGGGGGGGGGGGCGTAGTTTCAAGCGTTGTTCGTGTGAGGTATTTTGTTTCCCACAGGCTCTTTGGGTTTTGGATAGGAAAGGGTTGGGATTTTTTCAATTGATTTCACGACAGGGGGGGGGGGGGGGGAAAGTAAAAAAAACAA